GTACATTTGACTTCATTTTTTTTTTGCCCAATGTTTTGGTTATTATTTACTTATTGATCTGTCCTTTAAATATTCTAGATATTAATCTAGACTGTGATTTACCTTTTGATTTTTTTTTTTAAAGCACAGTTTTTAATTTATGGTAATTTACATTTACCAGCCTGTCTTAATGGATGTGTGTTTTGTGTTTTGTTCTGCTATCATTCATGATCCCCAAGGTCATAATTGTATTCAAAAAGGACTTATTTATTTATTTATTTATTTTGTGGGACCCTCGCTGGTGACCGGAGATTGAACTGGTGCTGCAGAGGCTGCGGGCAGCCTTGCAACCCAGCGCTCAACCGCTGCGCCACCAGGGGAGCCCAGGACTTATTTTTAACTGTTTGTTAACATGTACATATATTACCACTAACTAGTTTAAGGAATAGTATTACAGTTGGGTATTTAAGGTTCGTTAGCTTGTTTTTTTTAATCTTTCCTGAGGTGGTTCTGCAATTTGAGGTTTATCTTCTTTGATTACATAGAGAAGAACCTAAGTGGGGAAAGATGGTAAAAAAGATGGTAAAAAAAGATGGTAAAAGAAAGATGGTAAAAGGCCAGAATTAGAATGAACTTTAGGAGAACTACAAGAGGTACCAGGCTGGTAGGAAGTAAGTATATATTGACAAGATTGACTAGTACAGTGGGAGGAAACTGAAAGAATGGGAAGTATTTTGTGTTGATAGGGGTTTTTTGATTTGTGCTAGTGAGTAAAGAGGTTAAAAAGATGCAGTCCTTGCTTTAAAGTACACAGAGGAGGAAACACAATTTTAGAATATTAAGTGCTGTGACAGGGAAGAAAGTGTGGGTTTGTTACAGGAGCCATTGAAGGTTCTTGTGTAGGGAACTGAAATGGTAGGTTAGGAAACAAGTGTGGGCTTTGAATAAGTAAAATGTTAAAGAGGAAGAGAGTGGGCTGAGAGAATAGCAAGAGGTATTTGGAAGATACCTAAACATTGTGGTAGTAGTAAAGCTACAGAATAATTATCTGAACGTGTGCTTAGACTGGAAAGTCCATACAAGAGTGTGGACTCTTGTATGCTATTATTTTATTTTTTAATGTTGAAAATTTGTAGAATTAACTAGCTGGACTCAATTTAGATAATCCCAATTTTGTTGGCAACATCCAGTCTTGTATGCTTTTAGAAGTATGGAAAAATTATTGTGTAAGATCACTTGAACTATACTTATTCTAGCCCTTGCATTCTAGTAGTTTTGCTAACCGTGTTCTTAAGTAATCACAAATGATTGCTAAACATGGCAATGATGTCAGTGTAACCCAAAAGTCATGCTGATTCATATGCAGTTTTTCCTAACACATTAGTATTTTTGTACTGCTAGTTATCTACATGTTTTGTAATAGTTAACTGGAGAAACATCGTCGTAAGTCTGAAATAGGAGTACGCTCTTTGGCATGATTTGATTGTTTTAATAGGATCATTCAGGAATAGAAACTGGGAGTTACTATAGTAATCTAAGTAACTATTGCTAGTATACCTATATTGAAAAATATGATGGGCCGGGCCTCCCCGGTGGCGCAGCGGTTGAGCGCTGGGTTGCGAAGCTGCCCGCAGCGTCTGCGGCGCCGGTTCGATCCCCCGGTTGCTCCCCGGCCACCGGAGGAGGGTCCCACATGGCGCGCAGACCTCTCCTGCCGCCCGCTGCTCCCTTCAGCAGTGTACTTCGGTCCTTCTGCCTGTTCTGCTCCCTGCTCTGGCTCTGGTGAATTCTCTCACCCTCCCGCGCTTCTGACTGTACCCAGTGCATGTATAAACAAAAAAACAAACAAACAAAGAAATAAATAAATAAGTAAAAGCATGCCTCTATAAAAAAAAAAAAAAAAAAAAAAAGAAAAATATGATGGGCCTCCCTGGTGGCGCAAGAGGTTAAGCACAGCACCTGTGAAGCTATCGGCAGCCTCTGCAGCAGGAGTTTAATCCCCAGCCAGGGAGCTACCCACATGGTGCAGGATTCCTTTCCTGTCTCGCCTGCTGCTCCCCTTAGCAGTGTATTTCGGTCAGTCTGCCTGTTCTGTTCCCAACTCTGTCTCTGGTGAATCCTCTCACCCCCTGCACCTCTGGCCTGTACCCCACTTCTTGTGTGCATGGCTGCATAGATCTTTTTTTTTTTTTTTTAAAAAGAAAAGTATGAAAGCCCATGCCCTGGAGAAACACATACATGTTCACAAGAGAACATGCATAAGAATGTTTATCAAAGTATTTGAATAACTAGAAACATCTATCAGTAGAATACGCAAAGCACTTTGAATTCACTAGAGTTGCATGTATTGGCTTGGTTTGTTGCTCACCAAGTAGAGATGTCATACAGATGGATGAGTCTGGAGTTGAGGACTGTTCTACAAACTGGAAATAATAATTTGGCAGTGAGTAGGAGATAGTAACTAGAAAGTCACAAGACTAGATAGAATTACCAAGGGAGTAAGGATAAACAGAAAAGAACTCAAAGAACTAAGCCCTGGGAAACTCATTTAGTTTGGGGAAAGGAGACAGAACTAGCAAAAGAAGCTGAGAAGGCGATGGTTTTCTTGATGCACATGAAATGTTTTCAGGAGGAGGAGGCAGACATTATATGCTGCTGATAGGTAAGAAGGGTGAGAACTTGCTTTAACAAAGTCACTGATGGCCTCGGTAGGAATTTTAGTGGAATGGTGAAGTTAAATGCCTCACTAGAATGGTGAGGAGAAAATGGGAAGAGAAAACTTGAACTTCAGACTTGTACCACCATATCTTCATAACTAACTCATCGCATCCCCATATACTATCATTTCTTCTGTTCCTCTAGCTAAGGCCAACCCCTTCAGTGGTGCACTTGATTCTGTTTTCACTAACCTATTAAAACATAGGAACCCCTCCCTTTCCTGTATCATCACTTATTTTCTCTACTGCATCATGCCCACTAGTGTATAAACAGGCCAAAGCTGTTATATTCTCCATCTTAAGAAAATTATTTTCTTTTCCAATTTCTCCCTTAAGCTGCTGCCTATCTTTTCTTACCTTTACAGTGAAACACTTTGAAAGAACTGCCCTACTGCTATCTCCAATTTTTTTTCTCTTTTCTATTCAGGTATAGGCATGGAATGAGCAGACAGGTGGTATTTAAGCAAGTGTGGTTAAGCCATGTGAGTATAATGATGAGATAGAGGAACAAGGGAATTGAGAATGTAATCAGTATTGTGATGATGCAAGTGTGTAACATAAACTGCTTGAGAAGAGGGCACTTGAAGGTGATGAGAATTTTAAAATGGTGGTATCGATGGACAAATGTTGCCACAGAAGTTAAAGAATCATTAGAGGGGGTTCAAGAATAAGGCCACTGGAAAGAGTGGTTTGTGGTTGGAGAGTGGGAGTATCTAAAATCATGGAAGAGGCTAAGTTGTGACCCAAGTTGTAGTTGAGGCAGAAGAGAAAAAATTATCAGGGATCATCTTATGGTTGTTGAAATCACTAAGAAATGGAACTGCATTGTTGAGAGTTCTTAAAGGATCAGAGGGGGACTATATAGTAGATAACTGCACACGGCATGTTTAATGACAAGTTTTCAATGGAGGGAGCAGAGAGTAGATGAAAAACAGCGATGTGGAGAAAGGGACCTATCACCGGCAGGTCCAGTGGTATAAGAGGTGTGGAGAGAAAACAGCTACCGCTGGGAGAGGGAAGCAGGGGATGCAGTGTTATCCACAAGTCAACTGAGATTCTAACAAGTGAAACTTAGAGGCTGGGTGTTTTCACAAATTAATATTTTTCCAAACTACGGAGTCTTCATGATAGAGATAAGAATTTGCAAAGTATTCATATAAGAAAAACAGCCCAAAAAGTAAGTGAACTCAGTGTCTTATTTGAAAGACAGGAAGTGGCAAAGAGACCATTTTAAAGGGAACAGTCATTTTGTGTTGTTGCCAAACTGGAATGCAGACTTAATATTCTCAATCTTTGGATTTTTTTTTCCTCAAGAGAAGCTGGATTGTTGTGTGAAGAGCTCTGCAGTCCAAATGAAACATGTTGGAGGCTGGATTTAGCCATTGTCATGCTTTTTAAAATAGAAACTACCACCAAATGTGTCTGTAAATTCAAGAGCCAGAGTCCCTGATCATGAAACTGGCTGGCTGGTTGGGCAGCTGCAGCAGTTTGGTTCAGTCTGCAGGTGTGGAGAGGGTGACTATCTGTGATCTGATCACCCTGCAGCACTTAACATTATTTGGCAGTTTATCAGTTGTTTAATTGATTAATATTCAAACATATCTTGCCCCATATTCTTTTAAATTGTAACCGTGGTAGTGAGATTTCCTTTGAAGAAAAACATACTTAACCCTTTTGGCCTGAACTTCTAATAAAAAGTAGACCTCATGTTTCTGAAAAATCTTCAGTTTTCCATTAGTCATAGTGATAATGGAGAATTTTTTTGTGCTGAAGTAGAAGTCTACAGATGGTATTTGGCTCTAAATGATCTGGGGCAGGACAACAAACTCTAGACTTACTTTCCTTATCTGTAAAATGGCGTTTAAAAATACATGCTCTACCTTAAGCTGTCAGGGTCAAATGAGAATGTGAGCAGCTTACATCTTAACTTTGTAAGGGTGTTTATTTTATTCTACTCTATTAAGGAAAAACAACTTGCCTAAAGCTAATAAGATTGTCTATTTAGAGAAAATATTTTAGAACATATTTAAAATTCAGGAAATCCCCTTGAGAATGAGGGATGTATAATCTGCTTCCAAAAGCAACTTTCCTATTGAAAGATGACCCCGCTGATGTTATCACTGTGTGAAGTAGTGGCTGAAAAGGATCCTGTCTAGTTCTGTAAATGTAACTAGTTGGTACTTTGGCTAAAAATCCTGTTCACTCAGGTGGGTCTTGATCCACACTTTTTGGGGGTTCCTAACCATCACCTTCCCTTCTCACTTTGTGCCCATTTTTCCCCCCAACAAAATTAACAATTACCACTTGAGATTTATATTTAATGAGTCTTTTCTAGCAGCATTAATACACATGTGAAAGAACACATCTTCACAGAGAAACACAGGAAAACTCATTTTCACAGTAATTTTTTAAAGTCCCAGTGATGGAAATTATAAAGCAGCTTCCTCAAAGGACACTAACATAGATGAATTCAGTGCAGTCATTGTGTTGAATATGAAGTGATAAAATCTTTATCACATCCCGCTTGACTGTCCTATAACTAAGCCTGAGTCATTGGGAATAGTTACTCCTTTTTATTAATTGTCTGGTGGTTATACAGCCATGGAAGGAAAAAGCTGAACATCAAAATCATCAACAATATACCTGAAAGACAAAATACAGTAAAATAAAAGCAAAAAATCTCTAAGAAAGTTCATAATCACTTGGTGGATATCATTTAGGATTATATACAATTACATACTTAGAGACTTGGAAGACTGTTTAAAAGAATAAGCTGGGCCTCCCTGGTGGTGCTGCAGGGGTTAAAGTCTCAGTGCTGTCAAGCAACTGTCAAGCAACCGCCAAGCACTACAGCATGAGTTCAGCATGAGTTCAACATGAGTTCTATCCCTGGCCAGGGAGGTAACCCACTTGGCACAGCAGACCTCTCCTGTCTCACCCTCTGCTCCCTTCAGTAATGTATTTTAGTCTGCCTGTTCTGCTCCCCACTCTGTTTCTGGTGAATCCTCTCATACCCCTCTCCTGCATCTCTGGGCTGTATCCCAGTTCTTGTATGCAATCTTCAAAAAAAGAAACAGGCTTAAAAGAGATAACTAAACAACATCAAGGAATGTTGATAAAGAAATGCATATTATAGTTAGTTTTTTAATAACTTTTGTGTTATTTGATCCATTTGTATAAAGGTTTTATGTATCTTCTGATCCAGATAGAAATAACAGGAATGAAACTTGTGGGTAATTTAAAACTTACACTCATTACAGGTATATATTATTTTATGAGACTTTTTTTTTTTTTTTTAAAGATTGATTGATTTATTTATACAAGCACCGGGTACAGTAAGAAGCATGGGAGGGTGAGAGAATTCACCAGAGGGGAGAGCAGAGCAGGCAGCCTGGCGAAATACACTGCTGAGGGGAGCAGCGGGCAGCAGGAGAAGTCTGTGCGCCATGTGGGACCCTCGCCAGTGGCCGGGGATCGAACCAGCACTGCAGAGGCTGTGGGCAGCTTCCCAACCCAGCGCTCAACCGCTGCGCTACCGGGGAGGCTCTATTTTATGAGATACTCTTTAGCAAACGAATCTGAAACAATTAATTCCTTTAACAAAATAAGAGACTGTGTAAAGGAAATAATCACTCCTCACTTTTTTGCTCTCATATCTGAAGGTTTCTTACAGTAGTATACCTGAAACAGACTACCCTTGACTAGATTATCTATTTCACCGAAGATAAAACAATCTTAAAGGATATTGCACAAAGTAAAATATTATTTCAGGTGCATTACCTTTTTTGCTCTTTTGTGGCTACTCTGGCTTTGGAAAATGACATGTAACAGTGATATTCCACATTGTATTTTAAGAGATATTAATCTTTTAATCATATTAAATAAAAAATACTTACCTAAAGAAGGAGCCAGCCAATATACAATAAAAAATTGAACGAATGCTTCATCAAAACACTTGAAATGTAGTGAAAGTGCCAAAATTGGATTAAATACAGCTCCTGTTAGATTTCCTCCTGCAATACATTTTAAGCAGAGTGATAACAAACCATATATCTTACATTTTCTTATAACTGGAAATAAAGGGTTTGCTAAATATGACTTTTATCGTAGGTATTTTAAGTATTCTGTTGTCTTCGTTTGTGAAATCACCAGGCACATTATAACTCTAAAAGTAGATTAGAGATTATAATATGCTAGGTACAAAGCAGCAAAAGACAAAGAACATTGTGAGTTAATCCAGTGCTTTTCCTATATATTATAAAATGCACATAGAGGGCTTCTGGTGGCGGGTTCTGGGGAAAGGGATGGCAGGTGCCACATCTGGTCCTGAAGGTGATAAGAAGCTCCTGAAGCAGCAGCAGGAGACCAAGGAGATGGCTAAGGCATTCAAGCAGGAACAGAAAGAGGAGGTAAAAGTGATGGCTGCCAGGAGAGCCCCCTAATCACAGGTGGAATTAAGATATTTGGCTAAAAGCAATGTACCTGAGGCAATGGTTGTCCTTTATTCCATTACTGTTTAAATATGTGGATTCCCTGCCATAATATCTGTTGCTGGCAGCATCTAGAATGAAGTGTCTTGGAGTTTGTTGTACATTTAAGAATAAACTTTTACCAAAAAAAAAGTACACATTGAAAATGAATCTGCTGGGGCTTCCCCGGTGGCGCAGCAGTTGAGCGCTGGGTTGCGAAGTTGCCTGCGGCCTCTGCCCTGCCGGTTCGATCCCCGGCTGCTCCCCGGCCACCGGAGGAGGGTCCCACATGGCGCGCAGACCTCTCCTGCCGCCCACTGCTCCCCTCAGCAGTGTACTTCGGTCCTTCTGCCTGCTCTGCTCCCCGCTCTGGCTCTGGTGAATTCTCTCACCCTCCCGTGCTTCTGACTGTGCCCAGTGCATGTATAAACAAACAAACAAACAAATAAATAAATAAAACATGCCTCTATTTAAAAAAAAAAAAAAAAAAGAAAATGAATCTGCTCTACTATTGTTCCTCTGATTTTATAAAACAGATTTGGCTAATCTTGTTAACATTCATCAGTTTAAATGAGTAAATGATATCTGTACATTTAAAATGTACATAATACCCCAGAATCCTATTGGGCATAAGCAGACCTTTGTGTTGAAAACAAAATGTAAAATGGATCAAAGCATTACCACAGACTCCATTTTTACTTTATCAAGAGACCCCTCCTGAAAAAGTGGTTGTGAATGCTATGTGAATTACATTAGTGCAATGATGACAGTTTTTTTTGTTTTAATAAAAAGAAGGTGGCCATGAGTAGTGATAAACAAATTCTAACTGTTGACTACTTTCAGGACTCATGGTTCAGCTCTGCACCCAGACTCTCTGACATGGAGCCTAGAAGTTTGTAGTTTTGGCCACATCGTGAGTAAGAAAAGTCAGAAGGCTGGACTGCCTGTAAGGAGGTACCAGAGCTATGGCTCGGTATTTCAGAATACATTCTAAGAGTATCCCTAAGATTAAGAGTGTCCCTAAACATTTCTGGCAGTTCTGTGTGGAAACTTGGGCACAAAAACTGCCTGACTGAGTGACGGAGAGAAAGCCCAAGATCTTCACAAATATTACATTGACATAGGCCATTAGAGTGTGCTGTCTTCATAAAATGCAGCAAAATAAAATTGCAAATTTTGTGGGCCTTTCAGAAGATTTCTGAGACTTAGCACTTAAAAGGCTGAAAATACTGTAACTGTGTTGAGAGAAAGATCCTGAGTAATGAAGTTCACTTCATGCTAAGAGATTTTTCTAGCATACCAGCCTCACCATGATTCACATTCAAGCCTCTGCAATTATAAATGACATCATATTATGGACCTTCAGAATCATCCTTGAATAGTCAATTCCAGGAATGTTAAAATTCAAGGACCAAAAGAATTGTTTGGTTGGCAGGTGGGCCATACCAGTTCAATTAAAAAAAAAATTAGTGCGTTCCTATGTAGTAGACACCACAAACAGAAAGATCAGGGCTCACACAGATTTTAAAAATTGGTGTAACGTGCTGCTATAATAAGTGACCTGTGGTTTTTCTTAGGCCATTTTCAATATAGATAGACTGAGCCATTGCCTTCATAACTGGTTTATTTTGGTATTCCAGAGTTGAAGACTTTCCACTAGGTCCAGGAACACTCTCAGTCAGTTTTATAACATCCTAACACTGAAATACCTCACTCCCTTTATCTTCTAATTCTCGCATCATCAATTCTGCTCAGTGTGACTTGATTGGAGATGCTCCTTCTATCCAAAGACAGTCTGTGCCCCTCTCTTGGATAGGAACTGGCTTTGCAATTTGCATTGACAGAATGCAGCACAAGTGGTGCTCTGTGAATTGCAATGAGAGGAGTGACATAGTTCTCGGGTCAGGTCTCAATAAAACCAATCAGCAACCACATTAGGCTTTTTTTGGGAACAACATCCTGGCCATATACATAAGCTGGTCTAGGCTGCTGGAGAGAGGCCAAGAGGAAAACCCAGGCACCTTAGATGCCTGTTGGCACCAGCTCTGGACACAATGAATAGGACTTCTTGGCTCAGCCCTACCAAGCTATAAACATACAAGCACACATACACACACATATATATTTGTATATATATCCCTGTCCACCTATATAATCTCAGAGGACCCTCCTTTAACCACAGAATAACAAAAACCTAAGATTTGGGGTCTTTTATTACATAGCAATAGTTAACGGATACAGAAATCCATGTGGCATTGGCTTTGATGTTTAGATTGGATAGTTTTTTAAATGTCCTATATTATAGGATATTTTGTAGCATCCTTGGCCTTTACCCATTAGGTGCAAGTTGCACAGCCACCTCCCCTCATTATAACAATCAAAAATATTTCCAGACATGCTAAGTGTCCATTAGGAGGCAAGATCATTCCCCCTAGGAAACTACTTTCCTGAAGAAACACTAGTACTTGTATACAAGTAGACGTATACAAGGTTGTTTATAGTAGTAAAGTAGTAGGAAAAACCTAAATGTCCATTCATAAGAACATAGCTAAATAAGCAATTTTTATTACTGATTTAGAATATCATGCAGTATTTTGAAATAATGAAAGAAATCTCTTTACTAACATAAGATCTCCAAGGTACATCGTTGAACAGCTACCATGAAGAAAAGCAAACTGTAGAAAGTAAGATATGATATCTTTTATGTTAACATGAACACAATAGTTTCTGTAGGGGCTTATCTGTAAGTATAGTCACCGCACATAAAAGAGCTTGGAAGGACACACACGGAGGATTATCCCTGCAGCAAGAGCAGGCAGGGAAGGAGGGGGACAAGCATGGAGGATGGGAGTCAAAAGGCACTTTTAGTATCATTGGTAGTATTTCAATTTTTTACAAAAAGAGAACATATATGTATTGTGTAATTAACATTTACAAGTAAGAATAAGACACAACTAACATGGCTTGAAAAAATAAGTTACTATTTATTCACATTTGAAGAGAAGGCACAATAACACATTTTGCAGAAGAGGCATCAGTGGGGAAATCCAGCTGGTTGACTGCCAAGAGTCTTAGAGGACAGCATGAACTTGGCAAAATTCCCACAAAGACCGAATCCCAAATCTGGCAATTCTAGGTACTAGTGTTTCTCAGTATTCTTAAAGGAATCAAGTTCTCTGTGACAGAATGGCACTAGTTATTAATATAAAGATTCCTGTAGAAGTCAATGAATGTCAGCCAGCTTATAGTGAAAGAAAGCCCTTTAAAGTGTCCAGAATATTTGTGACAGATACATTACTCCTTACAATAGCCTTAGAACAGAGGTAGTAGTCTCCATTTTGAAGATGAGGAAACAGGCCCAGGTATCTCTCCTAACACCACAATTCAACTCCAAACATGTATGTACTCTTAACCACTATACTATATTGACAAGATAAAAAAGAATTTTGGACCTTGGTTTTCATTTGTAAATTGTTACCTTTCATTTGATTATTGTATTAAAAGCAAATATATAAAGGACTCAGTACCCTTTTACAAATTACTTTCCCTATATTCTTCATAACTTAGAAAGATAGAAAAGACTTCTGCATGAAGTAATGAAGTAAGTAATGAAAGTTTCGGCATATGGAGTGTGCAGAGAACTATTCTTTCTGTGGGATTTTTATTTTTTTAAAGATTTATTTATTTTATTTATACAACCACTGGGTACAGTCAGAAGCGCGGGAGGGTGAGAGAACTCACCAGAGCCAGAGCGGGGAGCAGAGCAGGCAGAAGGACCGAAGGACACTGCTGAGGGGAGCAGCGGGCGGCAGGAGAGGTCTGCGCGCCATGCGGGACCCTCCTCCGGTGGCTGGGGAGCAGCCGGGGATCAAACCGGCGCTACAGAGGCTGCGGGCAGCTTCGCAACCCAGCGCTCAACCGCTGCGCCACCGGGGAGGCCCTCTGTGTGATTTTTAAAAGCAAATAGAGTATCTGCTCATTCATTTATTCTTTCATTCATTTATTTTGTACCAGATGACACCATGCTAAGTCCTGACTATGCTATTATAATAAATAAAACAATTTTAGATTCTGTAATCACAGTTTACTGTTTGGTAGAAGGTAGTACAGCGGAAGTGTATAAAATTCTACAAAGGAAATGAATAGGGTGTAGTAATAAAGACAATTTACTTAGATGTGAACAAATCTAATTAAGAAATGAATGTAATTCTCTCTTACCCTGTTCATTCTCCCAAAACCTAAACTAAAATTCTCCCAAAACCTAAACTAAGGAAATTTGAAATCCTCATTACTAATCTTATATCTTTAGTATAATAAATTACACTGCTTTTTAAAAGTTTATTTGGGAGGTCATTAAACACAGTGGCCTCCATCTGCACATCAAAGTACAGGGTGCTAAATCCAAAAATAATCAGACACTTGGTCACTGGGTATCCAAGGAAACTGGGGCTGTGATGCTAGACAGTTATATTCTATAATTTTAAAACATATAATCAGTCATTTTCGTGTGACCTATATCAGTGATTTCTGAGTCACTGCAAGTGACTGAAGAAGTCTCCCAGCATGCAACTTTGTCAAATCTGTAACAACTAGTATCTTAGGTATTAAAAAAGACTGAGTATCAAAGTAACTTGTGAGGATGCCTGACTTAGCCAGCAATTACCCTGCATTTCTTCCCTATCCATTCTTAAATTCTCTTCTACAAAAACCTCACTTCTGCTTGATAGGCACTCAACTAGGCCTATGACAGTTCATTCTATTTGGAATAACTGTTTTAAACTTAGGACTTTTAAGGTGCCAAAATAGACACCTCAACAGTCTCAGAGTTGGTCTTCTTAAGACACCCCTCTTGGGCATGTGGATTATTTTGAGTTGAAAAGCAAGGAAGGCCCTGGAGGCTCTTGTCCTCTGTCTAATCATTCTGCCCTTCCCCTAATTGAAGTGATCATTACTCCCTTTTTAAGGGCCTAGAAGAATGTATTTTGGGGGGTAGGGGAATCACCCAGGTGTCCTCTCCATCTGAGGAACTCATCTTTATTTTCAGAGTAAGGATGAAGCCGTCTCCTCCTTGTCCTGTGAAGAACCCCTCCTTTCTCATCGGAGCCTTGGTGCCCCTTAACTCACTTTTCAGTTCAGGATTTAAATGCCTTTCTCCCTGGTTAAAAGTGGGACTTGTAAAATCATTGTAGCTCCCCATGGGAAAGTCATTAAAACTGACTTCTTTCTTCTGCCAGCCTGGCTGGTGCTATTCTAATTACTCAGCCAGCGTGAGAATGCAGAGGGAAGGGGAATTTCCTCTGTGCCGCCATAACTTACACTGATAGAAAATAACAGTAATTATGGCTTTGTACAGTATTTCCCAAAGTATGCTCTCTGCTGTCATATACTAGATACAATGATTGTAGACATGAGAAATTGTTCCGCATCTTCCCCTTGGAGTTTCACAATATACAGGAGCCTATAAAGGACTGTGAGGTCCCTAAAACTAGAAAACCTGCTTTATTTATTTTTATTTTTTTTTAAGATTCATTCATTCATTCATTTATTTAAATATACAAGCACTGGGTACAGTCAGAAGCGCAGGAGGGTGAGAGAATTCGCCAGAGCCAGAGCCGGGAGCAGAGCAGGCAGAAGGACCGAAGGACACTGCTGAGGGGAGCAGCAGGTGGCAGGAGAGGTCTGTGCGCCATGTGGGACCCTCCTCCAGTGGCTGGGGAGCAGCTGGGGATCGAACTGGTGCTGCAGAGGCTGCGGGCAGCTTTGCAACCCAGCGCTCAACCGCTGCGCCACCGGGGAGGCCCTAGAAAACCTGCTATAATTCACTGTTTGCCATACTTATTTGGCAATATCCTTTTTTGCAACTTAATTTTTAAAAATTATGGTAAAACATATATAACATGAAATGTCATTTGACCCATTTTGAGGTGTCATTGATTACATTTACAACAGCCTATGTCCAGAACTCTTCTAGTCAACCCCCCAAACAGAAATTCTGTATTCATTAAACAAACGTTTCTATTCCTCTTGTAACCTCTACTCTACTTTCTGACACTACGAATTTGCCTGTTTTGGGTTTTTCATGTATGTGGAATCACATGAAAACTTTTGTCCCTGTGTGTCTGGTTTATTTTTCTTTAATGTTTCCAAGGTTCATCCATGTGTACTATGTATCAGAACTTCATTCCTTTTCATAGATGGAAAATATTCAATTGTATGTACATGTTTTTGTTACTTTGGAGGAATACACTGTAGAAATACTGATTAAAAAAAAAAAGTATGAGGGCCTCCTCAGTGGCGCAGCGGTTGAGCGCTGGGTTGCGAAGCTGCCCGCAGCCTCTGCAGTGCCGGATCGATCCCCGGCTGCTCCCCGGCCGCTGGGTGAGGCTCCCACATGGCGCACAGACCTCTCCTGCCACCTGCTGCTCCCCTCAGCAGTGTCCTTCGGTCCTTCTGCCTGCTCTGCTCCCCGCTCTGGCTCTGGTGAATTCTCTCACCCTCCTGTGCTTCTGACTGTACCCAGTGCTTGTATAAATAAATAAATAAATTTAAAAAAATATATGAGCTTTAGTGTCAGTTTTAACCATGATTCCAGCACATTTTAGCTGTGTGATCTTGGACAAGTCATCTCACTTCTCCAGGCCTCATTTTACTTAAGATAAGAATAGTGTACTCATCAGTGGTTGTAAGGATTAACTAAGATAACTCATAATCTTTCTAGGTACTCAGCATGTTGCCCAACGTATATATTTACTGGCAGAAAAGGAAGATGATAATAGATCGTTAACTTCCGTAAGAGCAGTGAACTTCAATTGTCTAGTAGGGTCTGCCACTGCAGTCTGCAGCGCTGTCCATTAGTAACACAGCCCTACTCATTAGTAACACAAGTCTACTGAGCACTTAAAGTGAGGGCACTGCTACTGAGGAACTGAATATTTAATTTTAGTTAATTTAAATCTAAATAGCCACATTCAGCTAGCGACTATGAAATTAGGCAGCACAAATCTAGACTACAGTAGTGGTTCTCAACACTGGTTTCATATTGGGGTCACCTGGGAAACTAAAATATATTACTGCCTAGGCCCCTTCCCAGAGCAATTATATTTTAATCTCTGCACCCCAACATGGTATGTTGAAAACACTGCACTCTTCCGGAAATTCTAAAGCAGAGAATGTTAAGAAGCAGTGCTTTAGGGGCCTCCCCGGTGGTGCAGAGGGTTGAGCGCAGCGCCATGAAGCTGACAGCAGCCTCCGCAGTGCCGGTTCGATTCCCGGCAGGCCAGGGAGAATCCCACATGGTGAGACTGACCTCTCCTGTCACTCCCGCTGCTCCCCTCAGCAGCGCCTTTGTTCGTCTGTTCTGTCTTCTTCGTTCTGCTCCCCGCTCTGTCTCTGGTGGATCCTCTTACCCTCCCGTGACTCTGACCTGTACCCCAACTGAAGTATGAATAAAAAATAAATCTTAAAAAAAGAAGCAGTGCTTTAGCAATCCCCTCCCCGCCCATCAATTAGCAGCCCCAGTTCAACAATTTCAAGGTCTGTGATGTGAGGGGAAGAAAAAAATTAAGTTGATATTTTATGAGCTCTTTTCAATAACCTTATATATTTATCTTTAACTTCAAATATTATCTTGTTTCTTTTTCTCAAAATCTTTTTCCCTTATAAGATAGATATTTGCTAATATTATATGCAGTATTATAGAACCATAAATATGTACTAAAATATAAATACAGGAAAAATACCAATAATAGGATAATCAAGAGAGGAAGGACATAAGTAGAGAAAGATCTAAATGTATAATGTTATTAACCTGAAACATTTTAAATTTTTGCTGCTTCTAATTATATAAATACAGAGATAAAGTGTGGCATAACTTTTTGCAAGGGGTGATTCTGTTTATATATGAGGGATGTTTCTGCTTTAGTCAAAACCTAAAATTTTTAGTAAATAAGCAACTACTCACTATAAACCCTCCAATGTGCACATTTCTTTCCTTCTTTCCTATGCCATTTATTTCCATCTTATATACAAAAAAGAATGGTACTAGAGCTAAAGAAGGAAAATAGATCAGAAGTATTTTATTTTTACCCTAAGAGGTCAAGGGTATATCTAGGAGTCTGTCTTAAGGTTTGCTTCTACTCATAATTTCACTTGCAATGGGCAGGAGATATTCTGACTACAAATTCCTTTTATTGAATTCCTGCCTCTAATTCATAATTGTTACAATCCCAATCAAGATATTTTGTCGTAATCATTTAAAACGATACATTTCATCAAACTTTGGGGTTTTGGATTTCTTTGCTTCATTTAGAATATGTGAATTACTGTATGAGATCTGTCAAGGTAAACAAATGGTTTACAAAAATTCAACCGATTTCTCAAGAGTTAATTGCTTTTAAAAAGCATCAAACTTCAACCAAGTTTGTTTTTAAAACATCTTTCTGAACAGGCTATTTAAACATCCATTTATAAGTAAGGATGAGTTATTAAGGAAATAAGAAATAGCTTTAAATAATTGTTTATAAAAAGAACCAAGAAGTAGCGCTACACAATTTCTACTCCCCACGCTTACTACTGACCAATTGTGTGTCGCTTTTGCTTTAAGCTAGAAGGAACTTTTAACACCCAGGATCATTTATCAGTAGAGTGCCAGAAAGAACCTGTACCAGGGTGGCATGAGGAAAGAGCTGATAAGTTATCTTCCTTCTCTACCATTAAAACAATCCCTTTGTGGGATACTTGAACCCTTGGCGAGATCGCTAAGGTCAACACTCAAGTGGGCTTTTCTCTGGTGTTCAAAAAAGTACTGAAGGGAGGAGGGTCTACGTGTCCGCCCTAGAAAGAACGAACGGCAGAATGGTTAGAATGACGGGGTGCCAATATTGACATCACAGAGCTGTGTGGGTTTCAAGTGTGTATTGATAAAGAAATTAAAACCTCAGCTCAGAGAAGCTCCGGAGGTGCCGAGGGTTTCGTGGGAATAACAAACCTGCATAGACCAAAAAGGTGATGAGTGCTGCCAGCAGGTGGATGCGAAGCTTGGTCCTGAGCTCCTGGAAGTGCAGCAGCGCGCTGTGGAAGATAAAGGAGCACATGGTCTCCACGATGACCGCTTTGGGCAAGTCGACCTGGATGGGACTCCTGCAAGCCAAGGTCCTCTCGCTGTCGTGATAGCTGGTCAACCCCAGGCTCCACAGGAGGCCTACGCAGTACCTGCTGCTCAGGGCGCCCATCAGCTGAGCCAACAGCCTCATCGCACCCATCTCCGGGGACATGCCCCCCAGCATGAGCTGCATCATTATGCCGCAGGGGTTACTGGAGGTGCCCACCAGAGTCAAGCCATGCACCAACGAGAAGAAGTAGACCAGCATCAGCGGCCAGGTAGGGTGCATGGGTTCCTGCTCGCTCAGCACCTGCAGCTCATGGGTGCAGCAGCAGAGCTGGAAGGTGGCCAGAAACTCCAAGACGAAGGCGTGGGCCATGGGCCTGTGCAGCTGCTGCCGGGTGACCACCCGGCCCACCCCCATGGACAGCACGAGCGCCAGCATCAGCGCCAGCGAGGTGCCGGCGTCCCGCACCTCGGGCCAGAGACCCCCGAGCGCGGCCATGGCTCGCGGGCGGCGCGGGCGGCGGACTGCGCTGGAGTCCGAAGTCCGCGGCCCCGCCCCCCACGCCCCTGGGGCGGGCCGCCCGCGGAGCAGCCGGAAGACTCCCCTCCCCGGCTCCGTGCGGGGGTGTCGGGACCGAGCCGCGGCAGCTCTCCCCGGGCGCCGGCGGGGCCAACGGTCAGCGGAAGGTGGACACGCGCGCGCCCTCCCCCCCCCGCCCCCGCCGGAGCGCGCTCGGGAGCGCAGGGGCGGGGGCGCCGCGCGCCCGGAGGCCACAGCGCATGCGCGACCGCGTCCGGGCCTCGCGGGAGCCCCGAAACATGGGCCCGGGGGTCGCCGTGACCTGGGCCCCGAGACCCGGCCCCGCCCGGCGAGCGCCCGCCCCGGCCCTCAGGCAGGGGCGCGGCCGCTGCTCCCCGTTGCTTGGAAGCGCGGCCGCCGAGGTTTTCCCGTGCTGGCTCCGACAGGTGGCGCACGGGGGGACTCCCGAAACCACCCCGTTTCTACTCTCCCAGCACCCCGTTTCTACTGATGGGGCCACCGGGAAGGCGGGAGGTGGCGGCGGGGCGGCCCCGAGGCCCGAGGCGCTTTAACCCCGAGGCCGCGGGCGGGCCGGGCCGGCGCGAGGGGCCCGAAGCCCGGGCTCTCCGGGGGCTCCTGCCCGCGGGGCGGGGCGCGCAGCCCCCCCTGCGTCTGAGGTGAACAGAGCGGGGACCCCAGCGCCGAGTGGCGCCGGCGCGGGCTGAGGAAGGTCGGATGCGCCCGCCTCGCGCCCCCCCCCACCGCCCCTCGGCTCACCCGCGGCCCCGTGGGCGCTGCTGGGGGCGCCCCGGGCCCGCCTGACGGGGTGCGACGGGCCGGCCCGGCTCTGGGCCGCAGTTCTTGGCGGGCCGGGAAGAGGGAAAGGGGCAAAACTGAGGGATAACCGGCGGGGTTTCCGCGGATCGGAACTGACAGCTCCTGCAAGGCCGTCAGGGCTGCGCGGCCTCCTGCCCAGCCGCTGCGGGGCCTTTCACAACTGAGGAACGTTCTCCCTGTGACCCCAAGTTTTCAGTGGGGTCGGTAGTCTCTGAATTAAAAAATAAAGTCACAAAACAGAAACTTTGTACAGAAATGAAGTAATTTCTTCTTTCCTGTGTTGGTGCCTGGCCAAGAAGAAAAGTAAAATTATTTTTAGTCACAAATGTTGAAAGAATTTGCTTTTAAATTTACAATCTAAAGAAAATTTTTTTTCAAAAATTAAAAATGTTTATGTGCTTGTAGACAAAAAAAAAATAAGTAAATTTACAATCCTGTAAGTGTAATCCTTTCATCTCTCTTTTACTGGAAGTTCCTTGGAGATTACTTAATATGAATATATTTTGTTCACTGCTCTGCTGATAGCTCACTTTTAATATTAAATCGAAAACTAGTCTGTTGGCCTTTGATTAGAAATGTCAATATCAGGGCTTCCCTGGTGGCGCAGGGGGTTAACATGCAACCTATGAAGCAATCCAAAGCCACTGCAGCATGAGTTCGATCCTCCAGCCTGCCAGGGAGCGGCCCACATGGCGCAGCAGACCTCTCCTGACTCCTCCACTGCTCCCCTCAGCAGTGTACTTTGGTCAATCTCCCTGTTCTGTTCCCCACTCTGTCTCTGGTGAATCCTCTCACCCTCACACCTCTGGCCTGTGCCCCAGCTCTTGTGTGTATAAATGGATAAATCTTAAAAAAATAAAAAAGCTTTACTACTAAAAAAAAGAAATGTTAACATCATTCTAATATTTACTGTAATTTTAAAAACTTTGGACATTGGGCCTCCCTTGTGGAGCAAGGGGTTAAGTCTCAGCACTGTGAAGCAATCTGCAACCACTGCAGCACCACTTGCATCACTGGACAGGGAGGTGATCCACATGGCGCAGCAGACCTCTCCTGTCTCGCCCGCTGCTCCCCTCAGCAGTGTATTTCGTCAGTCTGCCTGTTCTGTTCCCCACTCTGTCTCTGGTGAATCCTCTCACCCTCCCATGTATCTGGCCTGTACCCCGGTTCTTGTATAAATGAATAAATCTTTTTTTTTTTTTTTTAAAAAAAAAGAACTCAGACAATTCAACAAGAAAACAAAAATGGGCAGAAGATCTAAATAGACACTTTTCCAAAGTAAACATATAGATAACCAAGAGCACATGAAAGAACACTCATCATAACTAATGATTAGGGAAGTGCAAATCAAAACCACAACCTCTGTGAGACTGGCCCTTTTTTTCCTTTAATTATTTATACTTCATTATTTTTTTAAAACAACATTTATTTTCTTACATTGTTCTTTTTCATACATTATTTGATTTCTCCCCTCAGATGTAGTCCCTGTAGCATCCCTGATCCGTACCATGGTCCCTTGTGCTCTTCCCTCTCCTGTTTTGATCCCTACCCGTCTCTTGCTGTCTGCCTCAACTCTATGGTCTGCTTACAAGTTTTGCCTTTTTCTTAACCTTTTGTTTGATTTCTTTATATAACACTTATAAGTGAAACCATCCAATACTTATCTTTTTCCTTCTGACTTATTTCCCTTAGCATAACCCCTTCCAGCTCCACCCATATTGCTGCAAATGACTTTATCTTTTTTGATCCCAGAGCAGTATTCCATTGTGTATATATACCACACATTTTTGATCCATTCATCTATTTGGGGTCATTTTGTTTATTTCCATATCTTAGCTATTGTAAATAGTATTGCAATAAACATAGGAGTGCAGGTTTCCTTTCAAATGATTGGTTTTATGTTCTTTGGGTAGATTCCTAGGAGTGGAATCACTGGATTATTTTGTGGAATCATTTTTAGTGTTTTGAGGAACCGCCACACAGCTTTCCATAGTGGCTGGACAGTTTACATTCCTACCAGCAGTGTAAGAGAGTTCCTTCTTTCCTCCATCTACTTGCTAGCATTTGTTGTTTCCAGTTATTGTTGTTGTTGCTGTTGTTAATATGGGCCATTCTCACTGGTGTGAGGTGTATCTCATTGTGTGTTTGATTTGCATTTCCCTGATAATTAGTGATGTTGAACATTTTTTCATGTGTGTTGGCAGAGAATGGCCCATTTTAAAAAGATCAGAAACAACAAGCTTTGGCAAGGGTGTGGAGAAAAAGGAACCCTCATACAACCCTTTTTGGTGGGAATATAAACTGGCCCCATCTATATGGAAAACACTATGGAGGTTTCTCAAACTATTACAAATAGAATTACCATGTGGTCTAGCGGTTCCATTCCTAGGTATCTGTCCAAAGAATATAAAAACACTACTTTGAAAAGATATGCACTCTTACGTTTACACAGCACTGTTTACAATAACCAATATATGGGAACAACTGGTTGCCCAGCAACAGGAGGTTGGATAAAGTAAATGTGGTATATGAAATCTTGCCTTTTGTGATAGCATGGATGGAACTGGAGGTTGTTATGCTGAGTGAAATGTCAGAAGGAGATAGACAAATACCAGATGATAGCACTCATGTAGCATAGAAAGAAATAAAGCAAAAGAATAGACAAACGCAAAAACAAAACAAAAAACAAAAAAAAGCACTAAAAAAGAGAAAACCCTAGAAATTTGACTGTAGGGCTGAGAATACTAGAGGGTGAGGGTTGAAGGTAGAAGGCCAAGGCGGGGAAGGAGCCTTTTGGACTATGGTGGAGGATTTTGGGTGCCCTGCTGATGAATGTGGCATGGTAACATACTTCTGAAGCACTATGAACCTATACCCTGTAACATGGTATTGTAAGCCAATGTTACCTCAATAAAAGAAATAATTAAAATTAAATAAAGACGTAAATATTTGTTGAGTGACAGCTGCATCTTGCAAACCCAGATCTCAAAAATTCAGTTTCCAAGAGCAGGGTTTTCATGAGGACTATGACTCTGATACTGGTTGGGAAGGTAAGAAGAGTCTGGCTTTCTCTGAAATTCTAACCACGTTGGCATTACAGGAGAGTCTGACCATGAAAAAACAATGTGATTCTGAGAGGCAGGGAGTGATACTGAGTTTGGTGAAAAGACTGGGTTTCCCATTTGAAAATGAGGGTTTGAATCTGTAAGTCTGTATTTAGTCACCATGAGATCGTGTGGAAATCATTAGACTTCCCTGAGCTTCAGTTTTAGCAGCGTAAAATTAGGGTAGCTTACTCAGGTTTTGTTGTGAAGGTTGAGTGAGACAATACAGATGAAGTGCTTCGTAAATAACTTATGAAAGAGTTATCTTTTTGAGATACATTTCCTATCCCATAAAACTCACTCTTTTAAAGTGTACAATTTAATGGTAAGTATATTCATTAAATTGTGCAACCATCATAAATTAGTTATTATTCTGAGTGGTGACTTTAGAAATGTAGTTCTAAATATGTAATGTGTTTCTTGTTTGAATACAATAATATGAAACAGTTATATCTTGTTATTATATCCACAGCTTCCTATGTGGGGAGGAAACATAACTAAAACATAACTCTGGCAAGGACTGAAGGTAGCAACCAATGGATCTTGAGGTGGAAAATTACCTAGAGCTCTACCACATACAATCACTTGGATTTTTGTGAGGTCTTTTTGCTCTTATCTCAGAGATGCTTTATTAGAAGTAAGTGACCTTCCTGTTAATCCTAATTTTAGTTGGAAAAATACTTGTTGAGTAACAGACAATAAAGAAAGTCTGCCTCAGTAACGCAATCTCATAATAACATGTGATATTTATTGAGCACTAATTTGTGCTAAACCGAGCAATATTGTCTTTCTTTTCTATAGGTCCAGTTTAGGGTACGTAAAGCATCAGGCTTTTCTGCCCTCGCGCCATCAGGACAGATGATGGATCCTTGCGGTCCTGAATGCCTGCCTGATGGCGGGCGCCGGGAGTAGGGTGTGGGCATAGGTAGATGGGATTCACCTGGGCTGAGACTGTGCTTATAAGGGCGGCGTCACAGGGGTGCCAGCAGCAGCAGAGAAGAAGAACGAACGGAAGAGCAGAGACACAGAGGCCCCCAG